GTCTAGCCTAACCTAACCAAAACCTAATGGGGTCAACCCAACTCTACCAGTGTCAACCCACATAAAACCTCAACCTATCTGTGTCAACCCAAACCAAACCCTAATCTACACGGGCCAACACAAGTCAACCCGGGTCAACCCAAATCAAATCCTAAGCTACTCGGGTCAACCCGAGTCAACCTGGGTCAACCCGAATCAAACCCTAATCTATCTGAGTTGACCCGAGTCAATCCAAATTAAACCCTAACCTATCAGGGCCCACCCAAGTCAAATCGAGTCAACCCAAATCGAACACTCATCTACCCGGGTCAACTCAAATCGAACCCTAACCTATTTGGGTCAACCCAAGTCAAACCGGGTCAACCCAAAACAGACACAAGCCTACCCAGGTCAATCCACCTTGCAGGTTAATCCTAAATTCACCCACAGCTAACTTAGGTCAACCCAAGTCGACTTAGTTTAAAACGGAACTACCCTAAATCAGCCCAAGTCTAATCCAAGGCTATGATTAGGTCATTTTATGTTTGTTTTCATGTTTTATGTACGTTTTATGTATGTTTTATCATATTTTGCCTTGTTATGCATGTTTCGTTACGACTTTCATGTTTAAAAGCAGCAAAAATAGAACCTAAAAATTTAAAAAAAAAACAAAAGATGGAAGCCCCTCTCCAGGTGGTTCTTCTCAAACAAAAATATAAAAATAGCAAACCTTCAAACTTAAAAAATCTTGATTATCAAACATGACTGACAAGATCTAGAAATTGAAACAAATGATTAATTGAATATTGAACTTCAAATTACAATTAAAATATACAAAGATAAAGAATGAAACAGAACTAAAGTTAACTAACATAGCCACCATAACTTAGGGAGATACACTTACCCTAGGTTAGTCTGAGTATAGAAGCCTAGATCAGTTTAGGTACCTAGCTAGAATTAAGGAGTAGGGCATACAAAATACCTAAACCTACCCCCTGAAACTAAAGGGAATAACATAGAAGGATGTAACCCATTGTTACTGACGAAGGTATTTCAAACTTCCGCGAGACTATGAATCCCTTAAGTTGTGGTATTTAAGGGGAATTCCTAGTTATGAGGCTGGTTATAGTTGATGGCTATTGATTTTACCGAGATGAAGAAAAGTCATAGGCATCTTGACCGGGTAAATCCTTCCTAGTGTATAGGTTAATCCACTATTTAGGCTTCTTTATAGAGTTTAGGTTCAACTTTCCATCTAGAAATCTTTTCTACCTTACTCTATAGTATAGGGGTTCTTACCAATTCATGTCTATCATTTTAAGTGTGACTAATTCATCTTTTTAAACCTTATCTATCCAGTTAAAGCATAATTTCATTCTTTTTAAACTCCAAATATCATTGATTCATCCTTTAAACTCTACTCAGTCATTTCAAACAATATCAATATCACTACTTGAATATCAAGTTTTTTTTATCAGCGAATCAAGTTCTTTTACCCTTTTGAGCTCAAATCCTTTAAATACTTTTAAAATTCAACTCATTATATTAATCAAATGTTTTCTTTAGGGTTCATGGCCTTAAGGATGTAATTAACAACGAGGGTTTGCCCTTGTAGGAGGCAAAGCCCCAGAATTAAAATAAACATCATCTTACACTTGTGAGGTAAAGAAAAAAAACTGGTTTTGTAGACCGAAAGAAGGCTTTCATCATCCGAGTGTTTAGGTCCACTTTTAAGCTAATATTTTCTTGTTTTCGTAGGACATTGTTTTGTCCGATCATCTAGATCGAATGTCTTTCGAAAGACACTATAGTGTTGGCGAACAAAAATTTCTCCACCATTATGCAAACTAGTGGTTGTCTCAATGGATCCTAATGATAAATTAGCTGATGTTCCCAACGTGATCCGGTGAATAAGACTCGCTAACAACGACTTGTGGAAAAACTCATTTATCTTACCCATACTCGTCGTGACATTTTCCACGCAGTAGATATCGGGAGTCAATTCATGCATGATCCCTATGAGCATCATCTTCGAGCTATCCACAAGATCCTTCACCACTTAAAAGACATACCGGGCTTAGGTTTATTTTTCTCAAACTACACCTCTCATTTTATAATTGTTTATATAGACGTGAATTGGGTCGAGTACATCCATGATCGACAATCCATCTCAGGACATTGCTCATTTGGGTAAAGAATCCTTGTCACGTGAAAAAATAAAAAAATAGCCAATGTGGCCCACAGCAGTGTTGAAGCTAAGTTTCGCTCATGTCCTTGGTGTCTGTAAAGCTCTCTGATTTCGCATCATGCTCCATATATTTTGTATGTCATTCTCTGCCCCTCTCCAGTTGTTCTGTGATAATAAATTCGCTATTAACATTGCCCATATTCCGGTCCAACATGATCAGACCAAACATGTAAAGATTGACAGACACTTCATTAAGGAGAAGCTTGATTCATGGAAGATTTCTATGTCATTTGTCTCATCCAATGACCGATTAGCAGATATCTTTACCAAGAATCTTACTCAGACAACGCTTGACGATTTCAAGTCCAAGATGGACATCTATGTTTCAACTTGAGAGGGAGTGCTAGAATTATTAGCCTAATTATAGGCTAATTACTGTTGCAGTTATTATTAATTTTTATTTGCTTCCTTTATTTTTTGTTTCTTTATTTATGAATTTCCTAGTTGGTATATTTTTGAATTTATGTCTTTCCTTTGATTTGGGTCTTGTAATATGTATTTATCCCCCTTTTTCTATCAATGAAATTATGAAGCTCTATTCTCAAATGTTAACAATAAAAAAACGTGTCTATGACATATTGAGTCATATTTTTTTCTAATTATTTTGTGTCGTCGTATCGTATCATATTGTGTCTATCTCATTGCTTCATAGTTTGCGGGTTGGGTTCAAGTCAAACCTAAAATTAGCCCAACTTGAAACTGATCAACCATAACCTAACTTGAATATCAAACTTGAAATTGACCCAACCTGAACGTGACCTGCCTTCAAATCGCTGACCCAAACTCAACACATATAACACGTTTAACATAAGACAACAGTATTAAAATCAAATTTGGGTTGAATCAAGTCAAACTGAGTCAATATTGGGTTGCAGGTGAATTACAGATTACTAGATTAGTTGCAGGTCAATTTCAAACATGTGGTTCAGCCTAAACCTAGCTTGAAAAAATTAAACGGGTTATAATTTTTAACCCGAACCCAACCCAAATATTATTCGAGTCAACCCAAACCCGGTTATTTTCAATCAAGTTTGTCGACATAGTGTGTTGAGTCAATTTTGACACCCTTAGGGTCGTGCCCCCACTGGCCTGGTCCAATAAAATAAAATTATTTTTATTAGTAAAAAACTCTACCCATTATTGAAGGAGTAAATTGGAACCAAGGTTTTTAGTAAGGTAGTTCCTCCCTCACTTCAACTAGTTAAGCATAGTGGAAAGCCTGTGCTTTGCTCAAAACAGATTGAAAGTCGTGATAATCTACATCCTAAGAACATAGAGAACTTGAAAATATTATCCATTTTTGTTAGAATCAATTTCCTTTCTCCTTTTTTTTTGGGTGCTGCTATTATTACTTTATTAAAAAAAATTATCAATATATATTTATTTAAGCCCGCATAATCTACATCCTAAGAACATAAAGAGGACTTGAAAATATCATCTAGGCTTGGTAGAATCAATTTTCATTCTCATTTCTATTTGTTGCTTCTATTATCATAAAAAAAAATTATCAGCATATATTTACCTTTTTTTTTTTGAGATAATCCGCCTGTTTTGTAATTTTTTTGTGAGCATATATTTATTTTTTTATATTAATACTCTAAAAAAAAAATAATATCCATTAATGCTGATCATAAGCCAAGATGAAAAAATCGATGATACTTCTGAAATCTTTAGTTTGTGCCCCCGCTAAAAAAATAAATAAATAGTTGTGTAAGAGTGGCAAAGTCAAAAAATAAAAAAAGAACTTCCAAGAAGAGCAGAATGGGTACAATAAGAGCTACATTTTTCCAGGAAAGTCAGTTGTAGAACTTCTTGTAAGGCTATCATGAGAATATTGTCAAGCTCCTTGCTTCAACTATTTAGTGGTAGAAATACCAAGGGGTACTTTCATCTAATGAAAGTATTTGAAAGTGGTTGGAGCAGAGTTCTCGAATAGAGATTTACTGATGTGGGTTTCAACAATATTTCATTTGTATTCACTTCTCGCAAACTCAGTTCTAGAGTTTGCTAGACTTTAGCGACATTCATTTTTAATTAACCTCCCACAGACGTTATGTTATACGAGTAAAAGTAAAATTGTAACCAATCGTCCCACTAACTTTAAGTGATTTTATGGTTACTATTTACAAAAAGTAAAACTAAATGTGAATTCTAAGCCCTCAAAATGGATCTCAATTGTCACCTTGACAAAAAAGAGTTTTAAATATAAGAGCTCACTTTCATCCACATTGTACCAAATAACCACTTGAACTAAATCTGGAACTGGAATTCAAAACTTCTAATTACTTGCATCAAAACAAAATAGCTCTAAATGTCATGGCAACCAATCTTGAATGTTGTCATCAAAAATTCTTGACTCATCTGCATCCTTAAGTATTAAATGAACGACCAAAATATTGAATGAAGCATAAAACAAGTCTCATTGCAAACATTAAAACATTTCTAAACATGTTCTTAGGTTGTTAATACTTCTGCAAGAAGCAGCCATCAGAACGAACAAAGAATGGTGGCAGGTCTTCTCCATTATTCTTTGGCCATTAATGCTTATGCACATCATTTCATTTAGCATAGGCCAAAAACACTAATGTTTATTTACAGTATTAGCTTATCTTTTGTTATTATTTAAGTGAATCTTTCTAGCACTGGCCTATCAAAAAAATAATAAAAGTTTAGAATTACTTGCCAGTATATCAAAGCTTGTTACATTTTACAAAAAATTTGAATATGTAGATGGACGACTAGAAATTTTTACATGTAAGAAACAGTAAAATACCAGTTTTGGCAACATGGAAGCCACTGCACTGACAGCAAAAGATGATAAAGCGCCTAAACCAACTAGAGTATTCATGTTTGGCGACCCCTTGGATAGACATTTCAATCCATCAAGAATAAGCCTTCGTCCTGGTCCAGCAAAAGTAAATATTGATAGTGACAAATGAAATGGTGTGGAATGAAATGCATGGACCCATGAAGGTGCATTTGATCCAAGGAAATGAAAGGCATGTCCCAAGAGGCAAACAGCACATAAAGCCCAGGAAACTGCAAGATCTTGACCTAAAGAAAACAAATAACTTTTGAATAAGGTTAATAGTTTACTAATTGTATCAATTTACACAAATAAACAATTTTGGTATAAATTAACCAAATACAGAATATCAGTTGGTAAGAAATATAGAATTCATCATTAGAACCCTTTTCCAAATAGTATTTATTGGCTTTCATCATGGAGCAACGCATAGAGTCTACAAGATAATATTATTTTCCATCAGGAATTTAGACAGCCTAAATCAGTGATAAAAATAAATACAACCACTGAACTAATAATGAAGTAAAATTGCAGATCAGCAAAACCTACTGCGGGCTTCAAAAATTTTGACGCCCCAAACTCTCTGTTTTTGTTTGTCAAGAGCTTTGAAGGTTAAATTTTCAAAAGGCAAATTGGATAGTAGATAAGACACTACTCAGAGATTTCATCCTAATTTTGTAAGGATTTTTCGATATGAGGTTTGAGTTTTCCCATAGGTGCATGCCCCCATAATTGATTACCCCTCCTGATAAAAAAAGAACCATTTCGATTAAGGCTAGTCATTTAGAGTTAAATATTTAACATACAGTAGCAGCATACATATAGTTTAAGTTATAAAATTCATCACTTGGAGCTTAAACGGATGGTGAAGGAAATGATAACAAACCCAATCAAGATCTCATGGTTTCATCGTCTCAGGTCGTAGTGGTCTCTGATCTACTTAGTTAAAGGAGATAGACGACCCAACCAGACTAAAAACTCCTTGTTAGTAACCATGAGTTGCATTGTCCAAGAAATCCTTGTAGATATTGGATAAAAGTTTGTCTAAGGAAATAAATAAGTCGATATTAGCTAATAGAAGGCTTTGTGTCAATCAGATGTACTCTTATGGTTCACAACTCGAAGAGCGGAATGTCATTGGGGAACATAAGAGTTGCGGTCGTAATCGTAATATAATTGTGTCATTTGGCAGTAATCACATGATCAGAGGGTTTTGATTGTAACCATTATTTTGTGGACTCTTTACTGGCATAAAATTACTTTGAGTGTGAATATAATAGTATAATCGTTGACATTATTTTATTTTTTTTTTGTGGGCTGAAGTCAATCGAAAGTTTATCATCCTGACAAACTATTGCGGAAAGTTGATTGAATTTACTTTAATTCTTAAGTGATTTAATTTTAACTTGAGCGTTTAACTTGTTACTTTGAAAATTTTGATTTGAAATGTCTTAATTTAAAAAGTGACCCCTCCGATTGAGATTTTCGATCAACACGACCACCATCGGAGTGTTGAATATTTGATATTTGAAATTGAAATCTTGAATGTCCTTCAAATGTTAGTTTTATTAACTCCAGTCTTTGAGACAAGAAGAATATAAAAAATGTAATTTTGACTTACAAATTCTTATATTAAATATTGGACATTATTTCAAAATTACTAGACTGTTAACTCCAGTGCTTACGATGAGAAAGATCTTACTAGATGGTTGGGACTTACAACTATGTTTTATAAACAGGGAAATTCGATTAAGAGCTTATATAACTTAATATTCTTAAGTTTAATTTCACCTTTGAGATTTTATAATTTTAGAATAAGCACATGTTCTTTGAAAAGAAATTTTGTACACTTTTCAAAAATAAAAAGCGATTAAAATGAAGAGACTTTATTTTAACACGCGCAACATTCTCAAATCGTTCAATTTAAAATACTTAGTTCATTTCAGGGGAACACATGTGAGAGATTAATTTCATATATTTGGAATATTTAGAAACATACCATGCTTCTTATAACAAGATATTTCAAAATAATTTCATATTAGTTCACGTAGCCTTCTAATACTATCGACTTTAATCGTTTAACGTGATCATCGAAGCCCATGCAAACTGACATGCTAATTTATACACATTTTGATGCATACGCATGCATATTTTGAAGTAATATATTGAAATTGAGAATTATCTTATAATTCAATTATACTACTTGAACTCATCCCAACTTTCTTAATTGCATAATTGTCACGTCTTTAAAAATGTAAGTGCATGTTTTTAAAATATTTGAACTATTGTTTTCATGAATTTTAAGTGTTCATACATATTTTTGAAGGCATTGCATCTGAGCTTAAAAATTAACTTGTAATTTATAAAAGTTTTAAAACATTTTGAAATAATGAAAACATATGTCAATAATTAAATCACTGAACCAAGTGTAATTTTTTTTCTAATTTTTTTTTAAAAAGAACTGCCTTCTGTTCACTTCCAATGTGTTGTGAATCTGGTAGGGAGTTTTCAAATTTCAAAAGCTCCATATTTGAATTCTTTTTCATACCCTAGAGCCTAATTTTGAAATCTAAAAATTCCAAATATTTTTGAAACACTAAGAGCCTACATTTTAAAAGTTCATATCAAAATTATTTTTAAGCCCAAAAAACCTACATTTTTAAAAGTCCATGTTCAAATTATTTATAAATTCAAATGATCCACATTTTAGATTACTTTATAAGTCCAAATAGTCTAAAATTTTACGTTAATTTAAGTTCAAATCAATCGAAATTTCGGCAACCTCCCGGTGTCAACCCATGTTAGGGGGCACCAGGAGCATGACAGCCTTCCCAACTGTCATTAAAAACTCGTTGGTCGGTACTAAGGCCGAGGAACAAAAATATGTATTTAACCCACGATCTTAAATGACAAAATAGACATTCAATGCACCTGCAAAAAAGGTCAAATCACCAGCAAGCATTTCCCCAAGCAGTACTTTACTTTCACTGAACGATACTTAATTTCTAAGAAAATGCATTCGTGTTTCCCAGGACGAGTATTTAAATCCCCTAATTTTATAAAAAATTTTCAAATGAGTCTACATTTTTCCCGAACGGTACTTGATTCCTAAAGACGGATACTCAAGCTTCCTCGAATGAATATTTAAAAAATTACCCTATTGTCAATTTTGTTATAACTTTTTGAGCGAGATAGCTGACAACAATCGTCGAAGTTGATGCGATAATGAACGCCAGAGTTAATGCGATAACAACGAAATAAAATAAACAAAAAAATAAATACAACATTGATTTTTTTTTTCTCTTTTTTTTAACAATACAAAATATAAAGTATGAACAACAAAGTAGAGAAGGAAAACTTGGGTTCGAGTGTTAGTGGCTCGGGTAGGGTGATCGGGTCAGGCTCAAGCCCGAATAAGAAAAAAAAATGGCGTAGAATTGGTAGGATCGGAGGGTTCCAGTATGACTTTGAGGTTTAAAGAGAAAAGGTAGGAGGGCTCAATGCAGATATCAAAAGGTTTAGACACTGGGATCGACAAAGAAGGGCTCACACGTAGCTCTGAAGCGGGAGGAAGGCATGGTTTGGGGTGAAGAAGACTTCGGTGAGTTGGATAGCATGAAAAGAAGGGCTTGCATGGCTTCTACGGCTGCTCGGATCGAAGCAAACAGAGAAGAGAGAGGCTCACAACTAGGGCGTGTGAAGCAGGATCTTGCGGCTTTGATTTTGAATGGAGGAAAAGCGAGCGAGGCTTCGTCAAAACGACAAAAAGTGGGAATGTTGCAATAGGAGGAAGATGTGTGTGATTTTCGCTCTCGAACATGGAAGAGAAGAATCGACATAGGCTTCGGATTTGGGTTGCGTGTGAAACGACAAAGGTTGTACAGTGTGCAGGAACAGCTTCGGCGAGAATGCGAAAGAGGCAATGAAGATTGGGGCTTCATCTCTGTTGCGGTTTCAAATCGGGAAACGAGAAGAAGCTCTCTTGTGAGCGGGGGCTTCATCTGGAGGAAGTAGGAGACAACGAGGTGTATTGTTTCTCGATTGGGAGCGGAGATCGGGAGTTTGGGAAAAGCTTCATGCAGTTGTTTCGAAGTGAGCTGAGGAGCAGAGAATAGTCTTCGTGCCACTTTATAATTGAGAACGAGAGCGGAATATCTATTAGACAGAAGCGAGTGCATTGGCGGGAGCAAGTAGGGCCTCTTTTTTACTTATTTAATTTTTTTTATTTTTTTAATTTTATTTTATTTCGTTTTGACAGTTGTGGATTTCATGCATGCATGCTGGTAAGAAATTTTAGTTGCATTTTCCACAATATGCTCAGCAAACTCATTTAAAATCCATTGGACATAGAGAAATATGACCTCTCCCACTAAAATCAAAAATATGAAGTTGAATTAGTTTATGTATTTGTTGCATTATCGCATATATAAAAAGAGAATAGTCAACATGGCACAACATTAGAAATATGAATCCGCAATATCATCTAGAAGAGGCTTTGCATTTTACTGTATAAATATTTTATTTATTGTGAAATGGAACCTTCAAAAGCTAAAACTAGCAGAAGCTTCCTAGCCCACAAAGGCATCAAGAAAAATAATTAGCATGCTGTCTCAACCACTAAATAAAGAACTTTCATAAAGAAAATGAGTTTCTAGCAAATCCGAATAGATACCACTTTGTTTCAAAAGCTGAAGCTTTTCATCCATCTTCCTCTCAAAAACTCTATGCCAACTTTCTCTTGCAGAATCTATACAGAAAATCAACCCACATCACATATGCATGAAAAACTGGAAAGGCAATGCAATATATATTATGCAATGATTGATTGTAAATTTAGAACACCAAGACTTTGAAATATTTATCAGCCATATCCTAACTAATTGGAGGTAAAATTAGAGAAACCATCTGTCATTCTTACATACTAAGGTTTGAATGCCGTGTTCATTCCCATTGACATAAATCTTTTCATGCAACTATTAGCTCAATTTAATTTCACTATAATCATAACATGCAAATACTTCAAAATTTTATTTTCTTACTATATTACCTTCAATAGACACCACATCAAATTCCTAATATCCTAATATAATCTTTCCTATAATTCTTGATGGTTCGTGATGGACCATAACACAAAAACTCCCTGAAATCATAGTGTATGACATAGCACATAATATTTTGAATAAGGTGCTAAAATCATGTTCAAATGAAAATTTTATTAAAAAAACAACACTATTACATAAGAGTTATAGAATATAACAAAAAATGATAATATAACATAATTGAAACGAAAGAATATTCAAATTAAATAAGAAAAAAGGTAAAACAGAGACATAATTAATTAATATGTTCAAAAAACTATAATGTGTAAGATGTAATTCGTCCAAAGTAGAGAGATAAGTTTCAATACCAAAAGGTATAAACAAAACTAGCCATCCTCATCATCACTATGAAAACAAAACATCATTCCAAAACTGTCACAAGAGAAGAGAAGTGAATCATAGTGACTCCAATAGTGACTCCAAAAAAAAAAACACTTTACTGGTCGGATACTATAAGAGCTCTAAATGATGCTCAAGTGGATTACTTAAGGAAAAAACATGGCATAACGACTACTTATTATTTAGTTGACTAGTCAAGGATAAAGGAGTCCTAAAAGAAAAAACAATAAGTATCCTAACTAAATAAGGAAAATAATAAACATAACTAAAGGCTTCTAATGCCTAATATGACATTATATCTAGTGGGATGTCTATATTGCCAATGAACAAATCGATGGCCTCTGCCACATAGACAAAATAGACAGGAGAAAGGTATGCATAAGGAGAAAGGCATGTATAAATTACGTATGGTAAATTTTCAAATGGATGAGAAACAGCATATCTTGGCATGGTCTTAAATTCATTCATTCTATAAAATGATAACCAATGCAAATTTGCATGAAGACAAAAAAAGTGAATACCTTGATATTTGGGAAAAAATATAAAATTTTGAAGGGTTTTGTGATTGTATCTTATATATTTTACTTTAAAATAAAAAAATAGAAATTCACGGTATCTAATCAGAACATTATTAAAATTTCATCAAATATTATTTCCGAACCCAAAATGAGAAGTTTTTAATTTGTGCACAATGGAGTTGTTCTCAATTAAAGAACTGTACAAATACTTTCACTTACTAAAGAACCAGCAACAGGACACAAAAATACAAGAGGACGAATGAATGGTTCCAAAGAACCAGCAACAGGACACAAAAATACAAGAGGACGAATGAATGGTTCCTGTAACCATAAAGTTTGCGACATAAACAATACTGCCACGAAAGGGAAGCTATGTTGTGGTATCAACATGTTTAAAGAAACTATAAAAAAAGGGAAATTTACATACATGCCACCCAATTCCTATGTATTTACATATCTAATACCTAAACTATACTTTTTACATCTATACCACCCAAATCTTTCATATCACATCAAAACAACACTATTTAAACTTTTTAAATGTGAAATACACCTTTTCATGCATAGGTTTATATTGCCAGAGTGCAATGAGTGCAATGAGTGCAAATATGAAAGTTTAGTTGTGAGATATGTAAATATAGAAGTATTGTGTGCTAGGTACGTATATTTCCTACGTAATAGTGTTGTGTGTAAATCTTCTATATTGAAGTTTGAGTGTTAGATATGTAAATACATAGGAATAAAGTGGTATGTGTGTAAATCTTCCTAAAAAGAAATAGAATCCATTCCTAATGAAATGGAGTTACTGAGCATAGTGTTCAAGTAAGGAGAAATTATTACATACGGAGCACGTACGCAAAACAACGTGCGGACTCCGGTAATATGTCGTCATGTGTGTTATATCAGGCCCACCACCCGCGGAGATTATTGAAGTATAACCGTGGAGGTTATTGGGGGGTTATTGGAGCAATAATTCTAATAACGCCACAGTAACCTCTCAATAACCTTTCAATAACTTCCGTTGTTACACTCTCAATAACCTTTGCGGTTACACTCAGCAATAATCTCATATTAACAGCCCAATAACCTCTCAATAATCTTCGCGCCCAGCATAACCCCTGCAATAACCTCATAATAACATCCCAATAACCCCTCAATAATCTCTGCGGTTTCACTTTAATAACCTTCATGTGGCGGCATATTACTGGACGTCCGCACACAGAGCTGTGTAAGTGCTCTGTATGGTATAATTTCTCTTAAGTAAGATATATAAAAAAACAAACCTTCATTAGAAATAAAGCAATCCACCATTAATGAATTCATTCATTTTATTACCCCGAATATTTGACTTGAATCCGTAGGTGGTCAATTGGGATGCAAGTCTCACGCCCAATCGCTTTTGCCAGTTATGCATTACCTCACCTTCAGGGACAGCCCAAACAACTGCAGTCTCGGTAGCAAGGTTAACGGTAGCTGATGATACCTGAGGCTGAGAACATAGACATTGTTTACCATCCCATCATTCACTAAAACCCTGGGAAATATACGTACCTAGCACACAATACTTCTATATTTACATATCTCACAACTAAACTTTCATATTTGCACTCATTGCACTTTGGCAATATAACCCTATGCATGAAAAGGTGTATTTCACATTTAAAAAGTGGTAACAATGCTATTTTTTATAAGAAATTAAAGATTTGGGTGCTACGTGTGCAAATATTAAAGTTTAGGTTTGAGATATGTAATAATGTAAACACATAAGAAATGTTTGAAATGTATGTAAATACTTATTAAATTCAACTTTCAACATATGTTTGATTCTATTGATCAAAACATGATATAAAAACAGATGAACAGAAACGCTACAGTTTAGTTCATAACAGATAAAAAAAAGGTGAAACGGATCTTACTTGACTTTCTAAGATGCGCTTAACACTGGCAGCGCATCCGCCGCACGACATACCCTACAAAAAAACGATCAGAATAAATCCAAAAGAAATTCTTTCACGGCATAGAGTGAATCAAATAATCAATAAGGAAGAAAAACACTTACTCCTACGTCGAGAAGAATAACATCAGGCCCCGCAGATGAGCCTTCCTCAGCTTCCACAGCCAGGGACTTTGCGCGGCCCTCTCCACCAGATCCGCCGCCGCCGCCTCCACCCAACACACGGCCAACCTTGCGCCGCCCCCGCCGGCGGCGGTGGAGGAGAAAGATAAGGAAGAGAGGCGAGCTAATCCGCCAGATTCGGGGGCCAGAGAAGAGGCATTCCGAAGTACGTTTCCCACGTAGGAAAACAAGAGCAGCTCCCTGTATCTTCGGTGATCGATGTTGCTCCCGAATGCCGTAGCTGAGCCCACGGACATGCTCCGGCATTGCGATAGAGACAAGGGGAGGCGACGAAAGAAATAGGGCTTCTTGTTAAATTTTAAGGTTTTAGAGAACGAAAAGAGGGGAATGTTGGCGACAGCCGCGACCTCCATCGATTCTCCTTCTGCCTGAACTTTGCTCGGCTTTCCAGAGCTAGGAAGAACTGGCGTCCTGCGTCTTGCGTACAATTAACGTTTTTCAAACTTTTCTTTCGGGGGTTATTTAGCACACAATTCTTTGTCTAAATTTTGTTTCCCTATTTCTACCACATAAATCTTTCATATCCATCAAAATAAATATTATTAACTAATCTTTAAAAAATTACAATGACTATTATAAAATAAAAATTGTTGAAAACTGTATCTTTTAGCGACCATCATAAGCAGCAATGTATAGTGGGAAAACCTAATTTTTAGGTGCGTTTTTTTTTAAATGCAGATAAAAAAAAAATCGTGATGCCGCGCCACAACGCCGCCCCCAAATGCACCCTTAAAATTAATACATAAATTCAAAAGAGCAAAATATTATATATATATATATGACTTTGAGGTTTAAAGAG